ACCAAACATGTCAAGCCTTAAAATTGCACGTGCGCGAAAACCTCAAAAAACTACAATACCCAAAATTGGCCATTGGCGACACTTTAAAAGCTTTTACCGCTCATCAGTTTAGTGTTATCAGTGATTGATGGCCCTAAAATTATTGCTCTCCCTCCGACGTTCGCGACGATATGTAACATGTGTAACGCAATTGTCGATTTCCCGCGCTGGCGCATCGAACGCGTATTTACGTGTATATGTGGGGGTGGGGGACTTAAAAATGTTTGGGGGTTTTTTTCTACTTTTTTCTATATGTGACTTTTAGTTTTTTAACTTTTTGTTATTTTTTTATACACTTATTGTTATTGCTATTACATAAGGGGATAACAATCCCCCTATATAATAGCAAAGGCACACTGACAGGTCCTCTTTATGGAGACATTAGGGGTCTATAAGACCCCTAATGTCACCTGGGGACCCCAAAAGAAGGCGATGAAGCACAGATGTGCTTCACCAGCTTCTTCTCTCTGGCTATAGCAGCCAGATGACTGACAGGTGAATGCGGAAGTGATGTAATACACATTACTTCTGCATTCACAGCACGGATGGGAGGTCAGCAAAGAAGAAAATGCTGACCTCCCTCCCATCTTACCTCCTGACGCCCTCTCGAGCCGGTCCCGGGCCGCAGATGGGGCAGCGGATCCCGGGATTGAAGGTGAGGAGTCAGGAGGGGGGGCGGCAGCAGCGGAATTCGAGCGGGGGAGAGAGGCGTGCAGCCAGACAGCCCATACGTACAATCGGCAGGCTATAGAGCCGCCGACCGTATGTATGTGAAACAGCCGGTTCTGCAGAAAAAAAAAAGCCGTCTGGAGACGGCAACCCGCCAATGCGACTGTGCCGTCCATCCGTTTTTTCACAACGGGGGGACGGCAACAGGTTAATAAAATACTCACACCAAATACATGTATTTAGGCACATAAACTTACAAACAGGAACATTCATCTTCAGTTTTTTTCCCCTAATTTTTTAACCTAGACTTTAAGCTACCGAAGACCGTGGGGGTGTGTGGTGTTGGTGCAGGAGCTGAGCGGTACACTGCCCATTGTCAGTGGCGGACCTACCGTAATAACCAAAGGGCCCTGGTGCAAGATGCGGTCTCTAATGTTGCGGTAGCATGCTGGACTTACCTGAGACCCTGCAGAGCACACCATAGATCCTGCATAGCCCACTTGAGACTCTCTATGGTGGACTCTGCAGGGTCCCAGGTGGGCTGGTCTGGTCGCCTGGGTCCCTTTCCCATTACCTCCTCCTCCTAACTCTTCTTACCTGCTGCTGCTGGGGCCCGGCCTCCTCCACCCCCTCCCCTGTCACCTCTGCCATGCTGCCCCGGTACAGTTGATACCCATGTAAGAGGCTGCCCAGACCCCTCACATGGGTACCAACCATACCCCCCTGATGGCGTTGTTCTATCAAAGGTTGTGACTACGTTAGAATGTGTGACCGGTGACGTGGTCACACATTAAACGTAATCCCGCCCATTTTTTCGGCGGTGGAATGTGTGACCGCCAATAGGTGAAGCATTCCAGCGCTTTCCCAGCTGTTCCAGGGCAGAACAGCATCGCAAATCGCATGTGCAGGAGAACCGATCTGCCCTGAAACAGCTGATCGGTCCTGAAATGTCACTTCTCTCCGACTGCGATCTCACATTTCACCGCACTCACAAAATTGGATAGAAGTGACATTTCAGGACCGATCAGCTGTTTCAGGGCAGATCGGTTCCCTGCACATGCGATTTGCGATGCCGTTCTGCCCTGGAACAGCTGGGAAAGCGCTGGAATGCTTTTTCCCCCACAGCTCCTTCCTGCATCCCACGCCACCGTTTTAAAAGATAACACCATTAGGCTCCATTCAGACATTAGTGGATTTCTGCACGGAAGTGCACTAAACATAAAAAAATAATGCTTTTCAATGTAAGTAAGGGCGGCGTCAGTGCGGTATGAAAACGCATGTCCTGCAAAAAAAGTCCTGATCATCACTTGTTCTGCCGGATGAAGGGGAACCTTTGAGACCCCAAAACGGTGAATATGCTATGCTGCTTATACGTCAATAAATAGACGTATTTGATTTGCCATTTGGAGTGCCGCTGTCTATATTTCTTCTCATGTATTTTGATGGTTGCCAACCGTCGACAGCCGTTGCACCCACTTTATAATTCTGGAAAAGCGGTTCTGAATGCGATGGGTATATGGACTGTATCCTGGAAAAAAGTCCTAGCACGATTTTTTGAGCAGATCTGGCGAAATTTCCCTGAAAGGCACTGGTGATGGGCCAAGTCACCAGCGCCTTTAGGGAAACCACCTGCTGTGGCCCGTACCTCCGCTGTTCCCCCCTACCCCCCATTTGCCAGCAGTAGAAAGCTGGCGTCAAGTCTCCCATTCAGCAGCTGAGAGCAATAGCCAGTTTGCTATTGGCTATTTTAAATTGCAGTAGCCAATAGCAGGCTGGCTATGGCACCCACCAACTAAAAGACCCCTATTGTCACCTTAAAGAGAACCTGTCACCTTCAATGTGCTATCCCTTAGGGGGATTGTGAGCCCTCCCATATCACAGCAATGAGGTTTAAAAAAAATAAAGTTACATTAAATTAAAAATACCCCCCCAAAAATGTATACAATAATCCTCAGATCCACCTGGTGGCCATGATGTGGTATTTTCCCCATTCACTCTTTTCTGAATGAACCATTCAGTTTTGCCCCATTCTCACAACAGCTGGTTACCTCTCACAGAATGAATGTACATACAGTATCTCTGGACAAATGAGTTATGATCATTTTTTTTTTTTATTACCAGACCCCTTTGTGTGTTGTAACATATTTAGCCCACAGGAAACTATCCCTACCATGAGAGGACCAGTCCTGCCCATGTTGTTGATGCACATTTGTGATGTTGCATATCATTCCAGACAGGCACCTGTTATGCACACAGTCCTATTTTCTATGTTGATTCACCAAAGATTCAGCTGGTACTTGATCGCTTAGTTGTCATAAACCTTTGTTAGAACCATAGCAATCAAATATTATGTTGCAATAAATCACTCTACTCAGTATTTTAGAATTGTTCATTTATTTCATAAATAAATCCAATTTACAGCACAAGTTATTCAAATAGCAGCATGTGATGTGTATAACCGAATGTCCTGTTACACTCCAAATAAATACTCGTGCGACACCTTGTGATAAGAAATAATACTGATGAATTATATAATAAATATGCGTTGTTGGAACTTTCCCTGGTTATATCTCACTGGCTGTGCTCAACACAAATTCTCTGTCCTCCTGCTGTAGCAATCTCACAACTAAAGCCACCAGAAGAGAAGCCAGTTGGTATTTCACCTGCAAACATCTTCCTATTATTGAAATATCAGTTTTGTGTGGCCTGACAAGTTAAAAACAATATATAATAAATATATAACTATACATTATAATACATAAATATAAGCGCATTAATTATGTATACATGTCTTCATGTCACATTATGTACAACCACAGTCTTCCACAATCATGTCCTCGTGGTGTTTGAGGACAATCTTCTCCCCTTCGTACATTAACATGGACAATGGTCTCATTTTGACAGGTGCACACAGCGGACAGGCCACTTTCTCGGGATCGTTAAATTTCACCAAACTCTGGAAAATAGAAATCAGCATGTTAAGTTGTGTATTTGTCAGACATTGTATATATAACATATTGTGGAAGGGCAATGATTTGAAGAATACCTTGGCTGTCCCTTAGAAACAACCTCTCCTTTTTAATACTCGGTTGCTAAAAGCAGAAATCTCATTAACTGCTATGTGCCCTTTTACATTATTAAACCCTCAACATATTTTTGAAAAACACATTATGGACTTTTCACACCCATTTAGACTAATCTGAAAACATAATAAATGTAATAGATGTTTAGTATATTATTTTAGGGTGAGGGTCACAATTGGGTGTATTTTTGCATGAGGAGTCAGCATGGTTAGGCAAATGTGCGCAGGATTAGGGTGAAGGTGATAACCTGCTATTATTGTCTGCATCCTTGAGACCATCAACCTCTGTTGCTTAACAGGAAGTGCAGTAAAGTCATTAAAAGTAGCTTCTGTTGATAAACCCTGAGCATTAACTGAAAATCTAGCCTGCTCTGTTTAAAATAGTCACCCACTAATAGGCTACAATAATGTACTGACAACACGAAACAGTCATTAGTTACTGTAAGCAGGCAACTGAAATGCTGTATCCTGCAGCATTTGATTCCCTTATCTTTTAAAGGGCACTGGTCAGCATAGATGGGAGGGAGCTGCTATAACAATTTGTTTTTGAAGGCACATAAGGCACATGCTCTGAGGATGTTATCCTTATACATGCAAGTGAATACTTCAGTGCCAGACCTATGGGACTGTGTATGTGTACATATAAGGTGCCCTTTAGAGTTCATAGGCTTCATATTTGTTTTGGGTTGGTAATTCACTAGTGTAGACATTCCAGTAGTGTAGAAAAGATTACGGCGGACACCCCTGTATTCTGCACGTAAAAAAACTATTTAACAAGGACAGCTCCCAAATCTCCATCCTGACATTTTTATTGTTCCTTCAAAGGAGGATAGCATAAAGGTTCAGGTAAGTACCTGGTGCTGGTTCTCCCTGCCTACTGTCCCCTCCCTCTATGCTCCTGCGGCTCTCCTTAACATCAGATAAAATTACCTCTCCCTCACAAACCTGTCAGCTGTACCTCACTAATCCAACTTTAAAACACACTGACCAAAGGCTGATGGGAGTGCTGACTTATATAGGGAGGGGACTTCTTTTTTTTTTTTTGAAGCCCACTATTGGCCAAAACATTTCACTTCACTACAGTTCACAGGTTAGGCAAAGCATTATGGGGTTCACATTTGGCACTAAGATAAAACATGGAAAATCTGCAGTGAATGCAGCCTGGTGGCAAACCTGAAATTCATCCCTAGTCACAATGAATACTTTTAACATTACAGCCCTGGAACTAGTGGTGAACGGTAACTTCCACCAGACAATCTGTCCCAGTTACTCTACTTTATGACAGGTTCTCATCCAGTATACAGACAATTAAATGTTTGCATTTGTGTACTATTAGACCCCACAATGATACTGAAAAGTAAAATGTTGGCCTATAACAAAAACCAGGTTTCTTTTTATTTCCTACCCCATTACTAGCATTGTATTGATGTGTTCTTGATCTAGTTTTAATAGCTCAGCCACACTGTGTTATTGCAAAATACTAGTAGAATAATTCAATTGCATGGTTCTTACCTGCATGTAGGCATGATTCGATGGCTTGAATAATTCATTCAGAGGTATAGGGCAGGATCCTTCACACCTGTAGGCGTTAAATCTTTTGGGGTAGACAATCTGCTCTCCCCACCCAAGAACTTCAAAGTCCACAAACATGTCCACTTTCCTGCAAAGAGGTTTTCCATTTCCTGCCGGTATGGAGGAAATACTATTTCTAATGATGCTGTGTTTTGTATTCCAACTTCTCCGATGTCTCTTAGAGTCACTTTTCTTGATGGTATCGTTCTCTGCTCTGACATATTTTGAGGATTCAACTGCCTTAATGATGCTTGGAGACCCATAGAGATTGAGAGATTGTCTGTCCTTTGAAAACACCACCAGCATAACCTTTTCAGCTGTCATTCCATTACATTTAGTGCTCACACTACCATCTGATGTATCTTTGACCTTTTTTGATGCTGAATGATAAAGGTACTTCTGAATCATGTTAGTCAGGTTATATGCCTTCCATGTGGAACCTGATATAGAGGTAGAGGTAGACTGTAATGAACCAATAAAGATCTTTTTGCTGCCTTCTGTGCCATGGAAAATGTCCAGTGTTATGTCACTGAAGTCTTTAAAAGATGATGGTAGTATCCTTAGTTCAGCCAGCTTCAGCTCATTGTTTGTTTCGATTGATGTCATGTCGAATGCAATTTCCAAAACATTATCCTTTTCAGAGCAATCTGCAGAGACAGTAAGAGAAACCCTATAAATTAATTCATCATTTCTAAACATACTGAATTTCCCATTTGCCCATTTCACAACAGATTGTGGTGGCAGGACTCGCTTGGAGAAACTGTTGAGGATGAATTTGGTTTGTTTGGTTTAAAGTGGCCATTACATTTTTTGCTCAATTACAGGCCTCCCTTTAGACCCATTTTAGGGAATCTGGTATTAAATGACACCATATTATTTTGTAGGACATTGATGATACCTTATCTGTTACAATTGTAAGGAAAAAGATCAATGATATCAGTTAAATTTCATCCACCATTTATGGTATATAATGGTGGATGAAATATATATTTCATCCACCATTATATACCATAAATGGTGGATGAAATATAACTGATACTTATATAATATACCTTATAATGGTACAGAAATAGGCCTCTGAATTCAACCTTTCATAAGTGTAACTACAGCAGATTATTTCTATGTTTTTGGGTTAAGCTTCAATTTATTTGTTTTGGCCCTACATGCATATCCTTCTTCAACCGTCAAGGTGGACTGTTTGGCATGCTTTGCTTTGCGTAATTCCTTCTTAAAGCCTGCCAAAATGTATTTTATAGCTTTAAATAGACTTTGTAAAGGGAAATATTTTGCTGTTCATGGCCTGGTTGGGGAAATTTTACCTAATTTTAACTCCATATTCCCTCTGTTAGGCCGTGACAACAGAAAGGTAAATGAGGGGGTAGTCTTAACCCGGACAGAAAGTGACATACAGTGATCATAACTTCACATAGGTTCATTTTAATGAACAAAAAAGTGTTTTATTGCAGGCTATGTCCCCAGTGGATAGATTTTCCATCACTCCTGTTGTGACAAAAAGTGAGGTACTATCACCCCAGTGAAAACACAGACCGTAATAAATAACTGACAGGGCTTCTATGTCTTGGCTGCTCTACCAAAATCTATCTTTAGGCTGGGCTTTAATTCAGAAGATATATGAATGACTGCGGTTTAGAATTCTGCTATTCTTTGCAAAGAAACCTATGTTACTCAATTAGAAAGATGCCCACTTTTCTGCAGGCAAAGGCAATGTGAGACTATTTGCCATTCCCTGGCTACGGGCCAGGGGCTACCCAAATAAGATACTTAAAAAAGCATATCAACGAGTAAAGGGTGGACCCAAAATACCCGCTAATAAGAATAAAACTAAATTACAAAAAGTTGATAAAGAGGATTCCCTTGTAAGACCAATTTTGACTTTTAATAACCAGCACAAAGAAATATCAAGGATTTTTCAAAAACATTGGCACTGTCTAACTAGGGACTCCAGAATTTCGAAGTTCGTAAGCACTAGACCTACCATCACTTATCGACGATGTCCCTCCCTTAAAGACAAACTGACGAACAGTGACTTTTTCGCTAGGATATTTGCCATTCTTGGCTAGCTTTTCAAAAAGCGTTCACATTATATTATACTTTGACTTGCTTTTTTAGCTGGGAAAGACTGCATTAGTGCTGCTAGTGGCGGAGGTAGTAGTGTGAGTCTTATTGGGGGTGTCTCTTTTTCATCCTTTTTACTATTTTATGCGGTATGTATGTATATTATGCTATACCTAAACTTAGTGAAAGTAATAGCATACAAAAAGATGAATGTTGTTGCAGTTGTTGCTTCTGGCAACCAGAAAGATTGGAATGCTAAAGTAGAATTTCACTAAGCTATTAAAATTCAGTGAATGTATAGTTTATACTTAATGGTACCAATGCATTACTCATTTCATTTGTTCCAGTGCTGAGGACTGTGGATTAGTGGGTGCCCTTCCACTCCCTTTAGCAATGATTTTACTTCCTCATTCTGATTCTAGCACAAAGTAAAATATAGAGCTGGGAACACTTGGTCCAGCAAATACTAACAACCAAAAGTATTATGCACTAACATCTTAACCCTTTCTCTTAATTATCTTGTTTGCCATTTTTAAGAGCCAGTATAAAGGAAAATTAATGATGAAAAGAAAAGCAAATTCCGGGTTTACCCAATCATTTTCGGCATATAAATTCTTAAAGGTCCGCATAACTGGGTGCGATCAAAGTGCCCTCTTTCTCATCTCACAAAGTTGGGCAGTATGATTACTTACAGTAAAAAGTACTATAACTCTTGTAGATATAATGGCACTTATTCTGGCTTATTCAATTCCACACCCAGCATTGCCTTCATTTAAATGATTGTGATTATTTCCTCTGGGTTACAGTGCAAGCCATATCACTACTGATTTTACAGCCTTATTGGTTTAGTTATATAATGCACCATGATATCTATGCTGATGGAATGTGTCTAAAAAAAACAATCTAAGTAACACTTGCACAATAGCTCCATAGTCACTTAAGAGAGGGCTCTGTGAGAAAGGAGACGCCATGTAACAAAAATAAATGTTTTCAGATAGTAGATAAAACACAGTATGAGTTTGGAATAAGAAGAAAACAAAAGTAAGACACTTACGTTTTGCCGCAAGACTGAGTACGGAATCGGATTCCCAGAGGGCTGGATGTTCCAGCAAAGATGGCTCAGTGTCGTTGGCCATGATGAGAGACTTGTATAGCTGCATCATGTACAGAGGAACCTTCAGTCCCTGGGAATTTCTATTTCCATGGTGTGTAGAAGAAGCCTTCAGTGTGATTCTAGATACTGGCAGAACATTGCTGGACTTCCTTCTGTCTACACCACTGGGTCTTCCCAAGACCAGTGTGATAAGTGTGAAGCTCAGGAATGCAGTACATTGCCAGGCCATATCTGCACGGCTCCCTCTGTCTCTAGAACCTTAAGGATGTTGTCTCTTTGATAGCATCCAAAACTATACTACATCCTAGATAAATCTTCAGGCTTATATACAGCAGTAGATGACCCAGAACCTCAGTAGTTCTTCACACATAACATCCCTTGATCTTTGCACTTTCACAACTATCGAGTGAAGTTTTGTATTTAGTGGTCTCCTATTGTTATTCTAGTGACACCTAGGTTCGGATTATCTCATCATGTAACATAATGATACGGAAGTGTCACTGATTGGTTGGGTGTTTATTTTAATTAGGCATTTAATGGATTATTATGTCCTGTAATGTTTCTGCTTTTGTGTCATGATTGACCGGGTCTGGATCAAGGCCGGGTTCTCACCTAGGCAGCATCGTATTTGCGTGTTTATGCGCGTTATGCACATTTTGATACACGTTTGTACGTGCGTACATGAAGACTCGCGTTTAGACTGGCATCTTCAGAAACGTTGCAGGCAATGGACGAACACGCTTACGAATGTGCAAAAACGCGCACGAAAGTGTGCAACATGGCGTTTCTTTTGAAGTTCATTGGTCAAAAACGCGCTGTTAACTTCCCAAAGAAGCTCATGTACCTTTTCAGTCGTTTGGTGTTTTCCTGATGGCGTTTTTCTGCTCTGGTGTAAATAGGGGTCTTTGAAAATCATGGGATTTCTTGTGTTGGGCATTTAAAAGCGCTTTTCTAACTGCTCAAAAACGCCTAGGTGTGAACCAGGCCTTATAAAAACATAGTCATGGATGACAGGGCAGAACCAACTTGTGGCCTTCTATGTTTTAACCTGGGTTCATACCTAGGCGACAGTTTTTAATACACGTTTTTGTGCTTTTTTTGCTCTATTTGATACATGTTTTTGTGAGCAGATTGTAGCTCATTGATGTTAAATAGCAAACGCGCGTTTTCAAGCGTTTCCTATTGAATCTATGGGGCCAGAAACGAGCTGTAATATGCCAAAAAAAAGCTCATTTAGTTTATCCAGCGACAGGCGTTTTGCTTATTGCGACAAAACTCTCAGATGTGAACAGGGCCATAGAAATTAATGGGAGTTTTGGGGTACATATCTTTTGAGAGTTTTTTAAGGCAGAAAAGACGCTACAAAACACTCAATGTGAACCAGGCCTTGGGCTCCATTCACTCGTATTGTCACGCATCAATCAGCACGACAAAGCGCTCAACCCCTGGAATCTCATTCAGTTCTATGGCCCCTGTTCACATCTGGGTGTTTTGTCACAAACAGAAATACACCTCTCGCACGAAATACTGCATGAGCTACTTTGGGGCAGATTCAGCGCGTCTTCTCCCCATTTACTCAATGGAAAACGCTTGAAAAATACACATTGCAATTATTTTTGAGCAGATTCAGCACGTTTTGCCGATGCACATGAATATGCCACAATCTGCTCACAATTTGCTCAATATGCCACAATCTGCTCGTAAAAACGCACACAAAAAACGCTTGCGTAAGATGCACGTAGTAGGTGTCACCTAGGTGTAAATGCAGCATTATAGTGTTATTACACTAATCTCTTTGCCAAGATCAAAGAGACCAAAGCAACTGTAGCTTTGAATCCCAACTCAGGGAGGTGCCTGGGCCAGTACCTGCCCCCTGCATTTTCTTCTTTGCATTCAACCTGCCATTATGGAAAGCATGCTTGCTAGAGTGGCTGAATAAAGTTCTCCATAGCGAGAATAAAAGGAAGTTGCTTTTGACCGACAGATTACACAATCAAGCACAGGGGAAGCATTAGCAACACCACTGTACCAATCATATTAATGTTTCTTCTCTGTCATGGAGGAAGCTCTTCCTGCACTTCTTTGCTTTCTGCATAGCTGTGAGTTTAACTAACGTCTGTCAGGCAGAAAGTGTTGAAGGAAGCAAGAAAGGGGTTTTAATAAAGGGAAGTTTATAATGATATAGGAAAACTTTTGCCCACTACATTATGGTATGCCTAGCACTGCACATTATTTTTGCTTTACAATTCCTCTCTCAGTGCAAGTCTATCTGTCAGTTTAGACTGCATACAAGTAAAACTCCATGGAGTCCAATAGTCCAGCCCCATGTTATTTCTGAGATATTTATTTTCATACCTGATCCCACAGATTTATACAGAAACTCTCTGAAACAACTACTGATACTGGCAGACATTGCCAGAACAAATTAAATATTGGAAATGAAATCAGAAGTAAAAGTCATTAAAAAATCATTACAATCATTACATAATCCCAGCCAATCAAGATGCAGAAGATGCTGAACCTGGAATAAGACCGGGAAAAGATGGAAGCATGGTAACGGAAGAAAGCACTGGCATCGCAGCACTGGAGGGGATCATTTGCAACGTAAGTTTACCATTTTGTGCATACTGTCTCATTATGGCAAATACTTCCTGAGGGCCCACTATTTGAATTGTGTTGGCGGTTTACTTCCATTTTAATGTTATCTTAATATTAGTTCAGTGTTGACTAAACCTATATTGTGAAAGTATTTGGTAACTAATTTTTGAGTAGAAATAAATATTGTCATCTAATAACATCAACCTAGCAGATACATTTTACCATGCCTACAGAACCCAGCAAAGAGACTAATGATACATGTACTAGATGAGGAACACGTACTGGACCCACTAACACAGATGGCCTTTTTCAATCAACAGTTCTTAAAGTGACATTAAACTAAAAGAGTTCAATCTTAAATATGCATTCCAGTACCTTAACTTTATTTATAGGTCAAGTACCTTTAACCTATTTATCCTGATGACCATTGTCACAGAGTCACCCAGACAGAAAGTGAGGGGAAATCCAGACATTTTAAATTATCATCAGAGCAATCAGGATGAAAAAATGGGGACACTTGTTTCTGTGACAGCTTTCTAAGATGGGAATTTCTTTCACATCAGAGAGATTTCTACTAATTTCCTCTTGTGTATTTAGGACAGGAAGTGAAAGAAAATCTCCCCAGCAACACAGATGACAAACATTAACTTGGTAGAATAGGGAAGGGTTTAAACCCCTATCTAAAATGTAAAATAAAAGTTTTTGCCATACATACTTTAGGAATTAGCACTGGAGAATAAGGCCAAAAAAAAATTACCATCAAACCCAATAATAAACAGCCAAAACAAAGCCATCGAAGCACAGAATAGCAGTGTGACCTATGCAATATAATCATTGAAGTGTCCTAAAGTTGTGCTGTAGTAGCCGTGTAAACTTCATAATGTCCATTGAAGTGAACACACCTTTACACTTCTGCTGTCCTAGGTGACCAGACACCTCTAATGATAAGATTATAAGGCGTGAAATGTGCTGTTCTCTACAAGTGTGACAGGTGTCACATTTAGAAGTGCTGCACAATACATCATTTTTTAGAGACCCTTTGATGTGAAAAATGGGCTACATAGATTATACCAGTAAACATTTCATCATAATTATTTTTTTTTAACTTTATATTATATAAGAGAGAAATGGAACATCTAATTCTAGACGATTCTGGCCAGTTTGTGGCACGCTCAGCATAGAGATCCTCTCAGTGGCTGCGATAGGGCTCATGGGTGCAGATTGGAGAGCTGAGTTCTTTAAAGCAGATTGGTTTTCCACAAGACATTAGAAAGATAGATCTTGTCCTATATTGCAGCACCAACCATGATTATCTGTCATATTCTGGGTGGTGTAATAATACTCAAATCTCTCATCTCAACATACCTCCCAACTAAGAGAGAGGGGAAGGAGGGGCACATTACAGCACCAAATATGTAGGAAAAGGACACACTCCTGCCATACTGCCAGTAGCATGGACTATAATATGCAAAACATTATTGATTTAACCCAAAAGTGTTCTATCATCACTACGTTTCCTTTATTTTGGCTTTTATTAACAACAGATGGAATAATTTAAAGGATAGACAAAAGGTTTATTACAGTAAAACACTTTCATAGTTAAGTATTTCATTTCTTTATAGAAATCTATACATCAGACCACAAAGAGATACAGCTGAGAATGAAAGAGGGACAGAAGCATTTGCTTCCAAAGGAGGGACAGTCCATCCAAATGAGGGACTATTGGGAGCTATGATCTCAGTGATTATACAAATATAATACGACTGCAGCAGAGTGTTGTGCCATGTTAGTCAACAAAAGTAGTGGATTTAGGGTGATACCATTTATTGGCTAAACAAATACATTGTAGTGCAAGCTTTCAAGGCAAGCTGACCTCTTCTTCAGGCAATATACTGCCTTAGGAAGAGGCCTCGAAAGCTTGCGCTACAATCTATTTAGTCAGCCAATAAATGTTGTCATTCTAAACTTCTACAAACATAGAATAATACACATATAATATAAAACATAAAACAACGCTTCATAAGAAAACACCCCAAAATACCATTCTATATGTGTATGGACATGGATATGGAATAAGAATAATCAGAAATGATTACACATATGTTGCATGGTTGTCCAGACACTATACAATGACGTTTTTAACCATGTCACCATCATACAGCCATGAGTCTGAAAAAGAAGAGTTTGATGGCCATCATTGAAAGGAAATTAGAATAAAGATAAAGGTGAAGACAGAGCCCAACCTGTCACAAAGCTTCATCCAAACTCCAAATGACTGCAATTGTTATTTTGAAAAGCCAATATTACAGAAATATTTGTTGGAAATACAGCAGCATATGCTGATATGTACTGCATGTATTGCTGACATTCTGATGTGTACTGATATGTCTTTTGAGCTGTAGATGGCGCTGTAGTGCCATGTTAGTCTCTCTATGTGCATGCTTTTCTATGATACAGGGGGAGGTTTTCCTATCTATCTTTATTCTCTACAATGCTGTTTTCACATGTAATGTCCTTCTAAGCAAGTAAAACAATTCAGCATTCCTCAAGATCTCAGTGCTTCATCTAAACACATACCCAACAATATTGTGGTGGCAAAATAGTAATTGGGGGCAATTATTTTTTGCATAT